TAGAAGTTTGACTTCTACTCTATAAATAAGAGAATAGTAGAAAATTGTGATACAATTTTTGAAACAATTTTTCAGCCCTAATTGTTAAGGCTGGCCGAAATTCTCAACACATAGAGAAAGGAAAAATTTTTCTCCAATAATTTCACATCGTGCATGCATTGGTGTTTGTGGAAATTCGAGTGTTTATTGTAACCCGTTTTGTCTCATGTGTGTCCACACACACGTCTTCGTGGATTCTAGGAATTGATGTGGAAGACATTGGTTTTCTAAACACAAAGCTTTGGAGCAAGAATTGTTAGAGGTCAAAGAACCAAGTTATCATCCGAGTCGGCCTCCAGGTATTTTTCCTAATTGAGTTCTTAATAAATGAATTAATGAGATTAATTTATTCGTGCATAAATTAATATAATCTATAGAGTATCTCAAAAGTTTTATGAAAATTTTTGTTATACACGATCCGCCTCTCCCCGCACCACGCTTCCGCATCCGGATTTGATTCGGCAACCAGCAACTTGTTCTTCACGGTAACCCTATTCAATTGTCGGTAGTCTATGCACAACTGAAGGGATCCGTCGTGCTTTTTTGCAAACAAGACAGGTGCACCCCACGGGGAAGTACTGTTTCTAATGAATCCCTTTTCTGCCAACTCTGCGTGTTGTTTTCTTAGCTCTTTCATCTCCGCAGGCGCCATTCGATATAGAGCAATAGAAATCAGAGCCGTTTCCGGAAGTAAGTCGATGCAAAACTCGATCTCCCGGTCAGGCGGTAAACCAGGCAGCTCATTAGGGAATACATCCGCATATTCATCGACCACGAGGACCTCAACATTTTCCTCGGCGATACCGGATTCACCCTCTAATGCCAAAAGGAATGAAAAACAAGCTAAATTTCGCCGTCCTCCGACACTATGCCTCAGTAGTTATTCTCCAGTAACCGGGTTAACACCTCCTTGATACGTTACTATCATTCCAAAACCGGTAGTCAAAGTCACTCTCATACGGTGGCAATCAACAATCGCCTCATATCTTGACAACCAATCCATTCCAAGCACTACATCAAACTGATTCATGGGAAGGATGATCAAATCTGCCTTTAATTTCTCACTTTCAATCGTGATCACACACGACCTACATATGCTAGTCACCTCCACACACCCCAGTGGAGAGTTTATGAACATTGAAATCTCTAAGTCATCGGGTTTCAAACCCAAAACTTTCACAAAAGAAGTGGAAACAAAGGAGTGCGTAGCACCAGTGTCGAACATAACTCGTGCGAAAGAGTGAGAGATAGGTATCATACCCTCAACGACTGGGTTTCCGGCATGAGCTCTAGAACTTTCCCCGGCCATGGTATGCATCTGTCCCGATGCTTTTCCTTTTCCTCTCTCGTTGTTGTTAGGTCTCTGGTTTCCAGGCCTATACTGTTCTTGCGGTGGGGTAGACTGTATTGATACGGAAGCCTATGGCCAGAAATAAGAGTACTTTGGTGGATAGAAGATCGGTGCAGGAGGAATTGGCATCTGTGCATGCAACTGGGGCTGATAGAAAGGCGTGAACTATGAAAGTCTGTCTTGACTAGGAGCAATACCCCTTTGATTCTGCGGTGATTGCTGGGTCTGTTGGTTCACCTGTTGGCCCCTAAGAGGACAGTTCCTTTTGATATGCCCTAGCTCTCCACAATGGTGGCACTTGAAGCTATAGAGTCCACTCTTCCCACTTCCCGAAGAGGGCACTCCCCCACTACCTTGCCCCTGATCACGGCTTTTTCTATTACTCCTTTGGGGTCCTCCTGAAGTTCTTCCTGAAGCTTCTTGATCTTGGAGGAAGACGATGTGCTCTTGTTCAACAGAGATAGCTGCTGCAACCAGGTCACTATAGACTCGATGCCTTAAAGCTACCACTGATTTCTGGATCACACCCTTAAGACCTTTCTCGAACTTTAGGCACTTCATGCGCTCCGATTCAATTAAGGAAGGAGCAAAACGGGATAGCTCATTGAACTTAGCTTCGTATTCCCTCACTATCATATCCCCTTGCTGTAGGCCCATGAATTCCATGGCCTTTTCATCTCGATAACTTTGGGGAAAGAATTGCTCATTAAAGAGTGCTTTGAATTGTTCCTAAGTCATCCCCTCTACGTCATGCATTCGCTGGATATGCTTCCACCACGCACCTGCAGGACCTTCAAACTTAAAAGCTGTGAACTCCACCCAATACTTATCCGGTACTCCCATGGTACTTAGATGCTTAGACACCAATTCGAACCAATACTCGGCTTCCTGGGGCCCACCCGCACTAGTGAATGCAGGAATTGAACTACGCCTGTACTCACGGAAGTAGTTCTATTTTCTGTCCTTGGAAAGACGTTCATTTTGGGCTCTAGTAGCCATCCCCTGGAAGGCGACGTACATGGCTTCCATGAATTACTCATTCGGCATCGTCGGTGGGTTAGGATTTCTACGGCGCGGCGGCATTCTTTTATCTGAAAAGAAAGCTAGATTGTTTTAGTGGTCTCCTGATGTCATTCATGTATGCATAATTCCAAACCCTAAGGTTCTAAACCAATGGCTCTGATACCAAGTCTTGTCACGCCCCTAAACCGGGGTTAGTGACGTGGAGGCTTGTTTAGAAACTTAAACCTGTTTAAGATAGTGATTAGCAAATAATGTTGTAAATATTTTAATTTTTCAAATCTAAAACATTCAGGTATTTCCAAACAAGCCCCCTGCATTCAGGAGAAATTTAATTTCAAGAAAGGTGGTGGAATTTCTAACCAAACCAGTTTAAAACCACATCCCTGGTATCAAGTCAGGAATTCCCCACAGGTGTTTAGCATACATGAATGTAAACAAAAGTAAATGTGACATCAACCATAGTCTAGCAATATTTAAGTTTACAATCCATAATTCTTTATACATGCCTTGAGATAAAAGATAAGAAGAAATACAACTCTTCGCTTCCCGGGGTCAAGTCCATGTCACCGGTAGTAGCTACCTACTCCGCACTACTCCTTGCGTCGCCTGGAGGGGTTTAATATATTTGAAAACAAGAAAAGTGAGCGAAAGGCCCAGTAAGATATAATTTTTTAAAGCATTTAAAATAAAGGTACTCACGGTTCGAAGATATAGACCCGGAACCGGTCATCCCTTTTTAGAAAAGGAAATACTCACATAGTTGAAAATATCTGTATAATGAAAGTGTGCAGCTCATCATACCACTAAACAAGAAGCGGTAAAAATGTCTATCTATGAAAAGTGCAGAGCCATAGTTCCACTAAACAAGAAGTGGATCCGTACGGGTTTCGGGACCTGCCCCCAAGGATGCGATTCCCACATCCCGATCTCTGTGGCCACCATGCGTTGTATCATTCCTTAAGTATTTCATTTTAAGAAATGATACTCTTTAAAATCTCATTTCCAAAATCATTGGAAAACTTAATAGCATTCTCATGCTATTCCTTTGAAATCATTTTCTTTAAACATGTTTTGTTCTAAAACATTTTCATTGGCTAAAACCATTTAAAGTAAGGCTAACAAGGATATGGACAAGAATATCCTACCTCTCGGATGTCAAACCTGTGGTTATCTTCACGTAGCCCTAGCTCCGCTTGCCTTTGAGGCTCTGATTCTAATCGTGCCACTAACTTTCCCATCAAAATCAACAATTTAGAGTTTGATCTTTCCCACCAAACATTCTCGCTTAATTGGATGCAATTGTATCATATTAGTATGCCATAGTTCAAAATCAATGTTCATACTTAATTCAAATCATGATTCTTTGACAATGGAGATTCATCCCGGAGAATCGAATGAAAAACAAGGATTCATGTGGCTAATCCACTCATTTTGAGTTCTCAAATGAGGTTAGGTCAATCCCACATCGAATTTCGTGGTCAAAACAGAGTTTTAGGGCTGTTTAGGATTGGGTTCAGTGGGAACGGGTCGACCGGTGACAGAGGAGGGTAACTCCACCGGTTGGCCGGTGGAGGGGTGACCGGTCGACCGGTGGGGAAGTTTTCCAGGGCCAGCCATGGCCGATTCGCGTGAAACAAAGCCAAATCCTGAAATTTTAGGTTTGATTTCGACATATTCTCAAGGGAAATGTATAGATCCAGTTTCAAATCAACAAATAGGGTCCAAAGAATAAAAAACCCCTAATTTTCATCAAGGTTTCATCAAAATGCATTCGAAAATGAAATTTAAACCAAAAATCTCCAAACTTGACTAAAACGAGTTCCATAAGGCTAAATCCGAAAATCTAAAGTAAGTTTCAAAAAGTGTTACCTCGGTCCAAGCTTTGATGTTGAAAACCTCTTGAAAACCTCTATTTTTGGTTTAAATCCAGCCTTTGAGAAAGAAAACTTTGAGAGAGAGAAGGAGAGATGAACGAGGCAGGGAGAGAGAGAGAGAGAGCTCGAGATAAGGAGAGGGTGAGTGAGCTCGAGAGACTGATAGGGAGAGAGAGAGTGTGTGTCGAGACAGAGAGAGAGAGGGAGAGTAACGTGAGGAAGAGAGGGGAAAAGAAATAAAGAAAAAGAAAAGAAGAGAGAAAAGGAAAAGAAAAATTGGAAAGAAAAATATTAGGGAAAATAAATAAAACAAAGAGGGGTGAAACTGCAAATACCAAAATAAATTTAAAAGTTCATGATTAATTAAGAAAATCAATTCAGGCACACTAATAAACCACAATTATCATAATTAAACAAGTTTAATTCCGGAGGGCGTTACACAATCCTCCATAAATAATTCATAATTAGAGCTAGGTGAAATTCGTTAACCTCTCTAATAACATCTTTATCGTTGAGCACCATTGATTCTCTAATGGATAATAATTCATAAAATAAATTCATAAATCAGAGCTCCTACTGGTCCAAGTACCGAATCAACGCTCAAGAGAATTATTTATCTACTTCTTTCTGAAGACGTAATGGATTCCATCTCGTATATTAACATTCTCAGCTATCCACTTCATCATATTTCCAGGATACAAGGAATAGGATTTAGCAATCTCGAAATCTGTACTGAGTAAGTCAAAAGACACAAATCTATAATTAGGAGTTTGCTAATAATTTAGAATTAAGATCATTCTATATATGACCATCGGTAGACTCAATTAGAATTTCTATACTTAACAGAAATTATCAGAAATTCATTGTGTCTGTGTCCCGATTCCGTACAATATCATTGTGTGTAATACACTTATTCAATATCTTGTTATATTAACAGTACGGATAACACCATTCCATTCTAAATGAGAATGACATGTATTAGTAATGTTTTAATTAAAGATTCTAAGCTATAATTAAATTCATTACGAACATCGTTTTGATTATTATCCTTATATATTATCCTCTTGTATATAACACTTGTATACAATATTTAAGGTCACATAAATAATCATAGAATTTTTAATAATATTCATAAAATATTCATTAATATATGCACATAAAATAATGAATAAACTTTTTTATTAAATAAATAATAAATATCCTATTACATCTAATGTTTATAGGATATTATTCCCAACATTTCCTATATTTGTTGCAACAAATTCAATAAACTTAATAAAAAAGACTCAACTGGTACTTACATTTTAAATTTGTTACTTGTAGACGCGTTAAAAATACTCAACCTAAACACAAATTTTAATTGAAAAGTCCAATTTAACCCATTGTTTTGGGTTTATTTTTTCATATTTTTAATGTGCGTAATTTTCTTTTTAAATTCATCCTATGGAAATAAATTTTCTTGGATGCACCGTAAAAAGCTCTCACAAACAATTACATCTAACTTTTTTACTACAGTAAAAAGTTCTCATATAAAATTACATCTCAACTCGAATTCTAAATTCGAATCAGTGAACGGATATATTTCTTATACTCTTTTTAATCTATACCTTTTTCAAAATGTGGTCCTATGAATATTTTTTTCTTTTCTCATTGTCATGTCAGCATAATTTTTCTCAAATACGTCCCTGTTTAAAGGTCTCTTTCCTATGCTCTATTAAATGTTATTTTCTCAAATGCATCTCCTAGATAATTTATTGCCTAATAATGATGAAGCTAGAAATTTTTGGGTCTATTTTTATAAATAGAGGAGATATTTTGAGTATTTTGATGATAAGACAAGTTAAAGTGGTATTTTGAGAAAACACTGTTTTTGGTATTATTGATAAATAAAAAGAAAAAGGGTAAAAAAACTCCCTTTCCTCGCGCACCAAAGAAGTGCGGCCACAGTTGCGTTTTTGGGGAGGAGGGGAGAGAAGCAAAAACAAAACAATGGAGAAAGACGTCGAAACGACGTCGTCCGCTGCGCGATATGGGGAAGAGAGAGGCGCCGGAGGGAAGCTTCGGAAGGCGCGGAAGCCGCCATCGACGCCGTACGCCCGTCCTCATGCGGCGAGTGAAGCCCTGACTGGACAGCGCCGCTGGCTGTCGAAGCTCGTCGATCCTGCTTGCCGCCTCATCAGCGGCGGAGCCTCCCTGATTTTCCCCTCGTTCTTCTCGAAATCTCCGATCGCCGGCTCCGACACGGAGGATCACGGTACGTTCAAGCTTCAATTTCAAGCTACGAGTGTTTGATTTTGTTTCTGCGATTTTCGGTTTTATGCACGTTTGATTGGTTAATTAGGGTTTTGGAAGTGAAGATTGCACTAAAAGAATCGATCTTTTCACCCTTTGTTATGATTTTGATGGTAGGGTTAGTGGTTTCGGAGAGTGATTTTAGTTTCGGGTTGGATTAGATTCTGATGAAGTGTTTGGCATTTTTTTTTTTTTTTTTTTTTTTTTTTTTTTTTTTTGGTGTTTTTTTTTTTTTTTTTGGGGTTAAAGGCTTGGGCTTTGATAATGCTACTAGTGAAATTTTGTTCCTTTATGATTGGTTTGAGTTGGACATTGACTTTTCTGACAAAGTAATGAAACCTTGGACAATTACTTTTGTTACATTAGAAAAGGCATTTTACGACCTTTACAGGCTAATGTGTATGAACTATCGAAAAACATTGTCTTTCACAAATTCACATAACCAAATAACAGAGACTTTTTTTTTTTTTTTCCCGAAAAGAAATCATCTTTTTTGTAAAGTGAGAATCTTGGAAATGTAGAAATAGTAATGTAATTATAGAATCTGACACATTTTAAGCGTTTGTTTTCTTAATTAGTTTAGCATTTCCCTTCCTGGAAAACTACTTATATAAGTTCCCGGAACAAGGCCATACTTTTCTCTATGTTGTGGAAAGATAGCTAAGTATTGCCTACCAGAATCGGTCTAGGTGTGCAATATCTGTGATGTGGTCTTTCATGCTTTCTATGTTGTACCAACTACGGTTTCTGATGGGTGTCTTAACTTTGATGAGTTTCTTTTGTTTTTCTGACTTGAGGGGTTGTTGAACAGATGACTCGGAGTCCGAAACAGAGGCACAACAACAGGATGCCGGTGTTGATTATCAAAATTGCACAATCAATGTAAGGCTTAACTTTCTGATGTCTTATGAAGCTTGAGTTCCGAAATGATATTATGATTTGATGGATAATGTTAACATCAACGGGCTTCTTAGTCATTTGTCTTTTGAGTATGGTGTTTTCTTTTTTCTTATTCCCTTACTATATCCTCTCTCTCTCTAAGTAATAAACACAAGTGCTTGTGGGCTTTTCTGCTTCACAGAGCTGAATGCTAGCATGCCAAAATCTTCCCTTTTCACATTCTTCTTGCCCCAAACACTGTGAACTTAACAATTGCTTTCTTAAAGTCTACTTGTTTTCCCCACTATGTTCCCTTTAACAAAAACTAGCATTGATTTTCTTTTAAAAGCTTGTCATATCATTTTCATAAAAGTTCAAATAATAACAACTTTGTTAGGTTCTTCAAGGGTGAAAAAGGGGTAATCGCATTAATTCTGCCGTCACAAGGTTATGCAGCTGATAAGTTTAGTTATACTGTTATACATATTTAAATTTGTCTGTTCTCTTTGGTGATATACATAGCAAAACTTTAACTGATTGATTATCTTAACTAGTTACTTGATGTTATTTTTGCTTTCTTGAAAGCTATATAACTTTTACCTGATGTTTCCGTTGTCCAAAAAAATGATTGTGTTATTTTATTGCCGCTTTTGATAATAATTTATTGTAGCATGAGATGTCCAGAACAACTGGTGTAGTTGGTACAAGCAAAGCAGTAGATGTTTCAGAGAGCATTTCTGATTTGGTTTGGCAGAAACAAGACCAAAAGGGTGACCTGCCCAATGAGAATGGTCTTTCTGAAATTGAACACCTATTGAAAGGGAAAAAGTTTTCCAGGCAAGTAATGGTCCTTGGTTCTCTTTCATTTTATTTATTTTAAATGTTCTTGGTTTGATAATTGTCTTTGTAGTTTGTTCATTTTTTCTACTATTGTCGTATAGTTTGAGTGCATATGAAATTTATTTGCGTTAAAGGTTCCACAATCTCACTAGTTTGTATGGATGTTGTTTTTTTTTTCTTTTTTTTGGGGGGGACGCGGGGGGTGGGGTTTACATTTATTAGATGGATAATTACAAAACATTTATTACCTCATAGTTTTACCTACTTAAAAAACACACCTTACCCTCTACCCCTTGGAACTACAACCCCATTCCTTTTGATACACAAGTCTGAATTTTAATTTTCCCATTCTACTAACCCGTTGACCACAAACAAAATTGAGGAAAAAAATTTTAAACCCTTCTAATTTGTGTGGCTAGACGTTGTATTTGATTATATAGATATCCTTAATCCTTGCCAAACACCCATTGCTAAACAGGAACCAAAGGCCACCTTAAAAGCTGGTGCAACTTGTTCTAAGTTTTGAATTTAGGTTGCTATATCCAAAAATTTTCTTAAAAATAGTAAGAGCATTAAGAAGATAATTTGAAGGCCCGGACTCACTTTGTTACCACAAAGCAATTTTTGATGACGAAAACAACCAATTATAAAATTTATATGTCTTCGTAGTTTATAAAGATTCTTTGTGCGGATACACACATAGTGATATAGAACTAGAGAGAGAGACTAGAAGAGGAGAGAAAGAACAAAGAACTTAAAAAGCATAAGATAGAAGAGAGAATAGGAAGATAGAGAAGAAACAGATAGATGGAGAGGAGTTTAGAGAGAATCCAGAGATAGAATAGAATCTAGAGAGAGAAATTAAAGAGATAAAGGAAATAGGGGGAGATAATTCGTTCATTCGTTCATCAAGTATGAAAAGCAATTATTCTTATTCCAAAAAAGAAAAAAAAAAGTCTGAAAAGCAATTAACATAGGCATGGTTCTGTCAGTTTTTTGGACCTTGTGGTTGGACAGAAATGCTAGAATTTTTTAGGAGAAGGAGATGGATGTCATTGATCTTTATGAGAAAGCAAAATTTACAGCTTCCTTATGGGTGTCGATAGACAAAACTTTTAAGGGTTTTCCTTTTTCTTTAATTGTTCTAAATTGGAAGGATGTGATAGGTTTTTTATTGTTAATTTTGTCGCTTTTGTTCTTGTCTTATTATGAGGATACCTTGTCCTCCCCCTTTTTGTAATTGATTGTTTTTTATCAATAAAAGTCATTTCCTTATTTAAAAAAAAAAAATTAACATAGGCACATAGCTATTAGTCTAGGACTATTAATAAATAGGAAATTAAATACAAATAGGAAATTGACACAATGGTCCCTGAAGTGTACTGCCAATCCACTTTAGCATCTGACTTTTAAAATGTCCCAAACATAGCCCAATCTATCAGTTCGTTCCAATTTTAGTCCTTTTCATTAGTTGCAAGTTAAAAAGATACAAAATATGGATGATATTCAATTAGCAGAGTTTATTTTACATATTTGGTTCAGAAATATGTTTAGTCTGTGTTTTGTTAGCAGAATGCTATTTTCTGTCAACATCACGTGTGTATTCCATCCTTATTTTATCACCCAACTGATGAAAAGGACTAAAATTAAAACAAACTGGTAGATCAAGGTTAAGTTTAGGACGCTTTAAATGTCAAGGACTGAAGTGAAATTGAAGATAAAGTTCGATAGTAATGCCATTTGGTCTAACCAATCCCTTCTTTTGCACAAAGATGAACGACTTATTTCACCAAGAAGGTGTTTTTTAATGCAATTTAAGGGCATAATGGTTTGAAAAAATACTCTGGGTGGGCAACATTGGAATAAAAAAATCACATTTCTAGGATGAGGCTGTAGTTTTGTAAAATTTTGTACAAAGATGAATGACCTATTTCGCATAGAAAACAAGTGTTTTTCAATGCAATTTCAGGGCCTTTTTTCGCATTTTTTCAGCAGAAATACTCTGGGTGGGCAAAATTGAAATCAAAACATCACATTTGTAGGACGAGGCTTTAGTTTCAAAAAAATTTAATAAGGGCACAATGCTTTTTTTCACATTTTTTCATCAGAAATACTCTGGGTGGGCAACTTTGAAATCGAAACGTCACATTTGTAGAATGAGGCTGTAGTTTCATAAAATAGTGAGTGAATCTTTGAAAAATGGAAATCTACAATTCATATTTTTGTTATTCCTCTGCTGTCACTTTTTCAAATTTTCTTTTCTGTATGTCGCCTATCTAAGATTTCTCCATCACTTTGCAGGGATGAAGTGAACCGTTTAATGGAAGTTATTAATTCAAGGGCTGTTGAACTTCCTAATGTGGAGAAAGAAAAGAAATACCAAAGCAGGACTCCAGGAGGAGAAACCAAAGCGCCTGTGGAGACCAAAGGTCCTGCAGCATCCCAGGAAATTGTGGAAATGACATCTGAGAGAAGTCAGAGAGATTTGCATGGATCTTTGTGGAAAACCTCAACACCCCTTCCCCAGTCAATTGTACGTGTTGCGATTAATTTGCTTTTGATTATTGATCTATGCTCTGAAAAAAATTTCAATAGTGTAAAGTCTTGCAATCTTATCCATTTATATATTAAATCCTTCAACTTAAAGATCTTGTGCCATTCATCAATATCAATAGGATTCCCATCATTTGCAGTCTCCGGCCATCTGATGCAGATGACTGGACCGTTCGCCATAATCTGGTTTTTTTGGTAACGGAGAATTTGCATATAATTCTACCTTTTCTGCTGAATTCTGCAGATGCCAGAAGTCGCTGCTTCTCCGATAGAGATTGCAAAAGCATACATGGGAAGCCGAACAATAGACACAGACAATTCTTCTAGGGGAATGATATCTAGAAATGAAAGGAGTTTACTTTTTGGTGCTGAGCTTCCATCAAAGCCATTTATTCCACCACCTTCACCAAAGCCATCTGCATACTGGCCAGGTGCCATGGTACAGGATCAACGTGATTATTTTACCCCTCAAACTCATAGAGCAAGAGTTGGGCTTCATAATTTTCCGCGAACCCCTTACTCTCGAACGATTTTTTCAAAGTCCAAGTCCAAGGTATTTGTTTTACTAAAACTTCTGGTATTGACTTTTACACTAGTGATAAGGCGTGCTTTATGTGAGATTATTTTTCTTTCCTCCATTCTGTCAGTTAACCCCATCACAAGTTGAGAGAGATAAGTGGCTGAGGCCACCCACTTCGGTGCAAAAGTTGCAAACTCCTGTATTTGGACAGGTAACTTTTTATATATCCAACTTCGTAAATGTTAGATCTATGAAAGGAATGGTTGCTGTTGCTTTTGTTGTTTTATTTTAGTTTTTGAGTTGTTCCCCCTTTCAATCATTCTGGTTAGAACGCATTGTTTTTATTCAACCTCTTTCTACTCCATTCTTGCAGCAGTAGGCTGCAATGAAAGGTAGTTTAAGCCTTTTGAATTGATAAAATGGTCGAGTAAATGTGATGTGCGTAAAGCACTCTTAGGTGGCGCAACTAAATTTACTCTGGCTACGGCTGTAACTCATTTTTTCTGTGGCGTTTTCTTCATCTATGGTTTCTAGTGCTAACATAGGGTTGAAAGCATTACTGTACTCTTTCAACTTACAGCTGCAATGAAGGGTAATTTGAGCCTTTTAAATTGGTAAAATGGCCGATTTAAGTTGAATAAGTGAATGTAATGTGCATAAATCACTGTTAAGCGTGGCAGCTAAAGTTACTGGCTGGCTGCGGCTGAACTCATTTTTTCTGTGCAGTTCCTGTATCTGTGGTTTCCAGTGCAAACAGTTACATATGTGATTCGGTTGAAAGTGTTACCGTTTAGAGTATTTTGTTTTACGCTTATTGCTATATCTGTTCATATATTGACTTGGCATACGTATTTCTTTTCACTCAATATTGATAGGCGAAGCCGAGGAGTGATGTATTGGAAGATGAATACGGATCTGTAGGACCAATTCGTAGGCCAAGACATAAAATTTCTACACAAACACCTTTCAGAGGATCCAATTTTATTGGCTCTTCAGTTGGACCTTCAAAGGTGGAAAATTCCAATATTTCCCAAGGTTTCTTGCTTCCTGTCAACAGGAATTTTGAACCTGGAGGATCAAGTAGCAGCTCCCAATTTCAGTCAGTAGACAGAAAGAATCGCAGTTTTGATGTGGGTGTACCAACTGTTCATCCTCAGTCTAGTCAGATCGCTAGGACTATCTTGGAGCATATAGACAGAAATCCTCCCACTCCCAAAGACAAGTCAGAGGAGTTAAAGCTAGCCATTGCGTGGAAGAAACCAGTTTCTTCCAGTACCCTTCCAACTGATCCAAATGGACAGAACAGCGTACTGAATGTAAAAGGGTACGATTCTCATAAGATAGTGAATATAGATGGCCAAGAGGAATCTGCTCAAGAAAATGCTGACGAAGGCAATTCTCTTTTTATGAATCCGCGCCAAGAAAATACTGCAAAAGCTGTTGATTCTGTAAGCAATCCTCCTCGTTCTGATGTTTTCCTTGGCAATGGGGGCAGATCATCTCAAATCAAAAGTTTGCATGGGGTATGTATAGTTTCTAAATTACTGTTTTAATGACTTCCTAACTTAGTGCATTGAAACGTCATTTATACAATATATTGATAGGATGTCACAATGATTACCTCCTCTCAGGTGCTAAATCTACAAAAGAAGCCTGCAACTTCAGGGACTAAGCCTGTCCTGTCTTCTATATCCATTAACAAGCCTGACTCGAAGTGGACATTTTCTTCCGATCAGGGATCTGGGTTTACTTTTCCTGTTTCTACATCCTCTGAGGTGCTTTCCGAACCGCCAACACCATCGATCGTGCCATCATTCTTGGTGAGCGGTCAGCATCAGCCCAAAGATGGAGTGGCTGTTCCTTCATACACATTTGGCTCAAGCAAGTCTAGCTCGGCCCTTGTGTTCTCTTTCCCCTCAACGAGCAGTTCTGCAATCCAAAATGATTCTTCAGACATTAAGTTCAGCTTTGGATCAGATAAGCCCAGGTTATCTTTCAGCTCAATAACGAAAGATGCAATCTGCTATTAACTGAGAGCAAGACAAGTCAATTTTTTTCCCTTCCTGTTCTCTTTAATTCTTAATTTTTGAGGTGAATTTGATGTTAGAATTCATAAAAGTTATGATCCAAACATCGGGAAAGCCAGTGGTTGGAAATTTTTTTCTGAAAATATTAAATAACCAAATATTCTTAGTGTCTTCACTATAGCAGTTAATTTCCCTAATTATAGGTCTAACAACAATTGGAGAGTTTTGTATGACGATACCAGTATTTTGGTCATTACATTCTAGTACATAATTGTCAAGTTTGTTGGGCATATTAAAGTATTTTTTTGAGTAAAGCACAACTTTTTGGAATCCAATAAAATCACGACATTATTATCCTAATGGAGCCCAAACTTTGTTTTCCACCTTTATTGTTGGGCCTATACAATTCATAAATCAAACTAGAAGATAACATGGAAACCCTCATTGTCATTGGTAGCTTTCTCCATGTGGGTCAGCTTTAAATTAGCACCATTAGCACCTATAACAATATAATCTTTCCTAAACATGATTCTTCCTCAAATCTAAGCATTTAAGTCGGGTACTTTTTTTTTTTTTTTTTTTTTTTTTTCATATATCTTTATATGGACAAGATTTTTATGATTACGTTTATATATGTTTATATATCGGTAGTTACCCATTAAATATATTAGCCAGCTGTTGATGATGTGGTGTGAAAACTGTCTGATTAATAACACATGGTTAAAAAAAAATACTGTTATATAATGGAGTAACTAGTAAAACTACACTCATATATTTATATATATATATATATATATATATTTGTGTGTATATATAATTTAAATAAATGGGTCCATTTGAGCTCAAATAACGCGTGCTCTCAACTTGAAGAGCCACATGGTTTAAAAAAAATACTGTTATATAATGGAGTAACTAGTAAAATTACACTACTCACATATATATATATATATTTGTGTGTATATATAATTTAAATAAATGGGTCCATTTGAGCTCAAATAACGCGTGCTCTCAACTTGAAGAGCCAGACAGCTTGGATCATAAAATGTAGACCACCTCATATTTGTGGTCCAATAATTCATCTATTTCACAGCTAATTTTTCTTCTTTCGACGCTGCAATCAGGTTCTGACCCCTCACAAGAAAAATTAAATAGCAATATGGTCTCTTCTGAACTAGCTTTTGGGGGAGTTTTTTTTGGGGTCCCCTCTCTTTTCCATCTTCTTCAACAACAGTCATTCCCTCATTACATTGATTGTGCATGTTGTATTGGACAAGGTTTTTGCACTAGATTACAAAGTATAACACCATAATAATTAAAATAAAAAACACCACTATACAATAATACATCCCTGTCTCTCTACAGTGTCTAGGTTGGAAAAACCATAATAATTAAAGAAAGCAAAGTACTTTAAACATCTCTATCTGTCTCTCCACACTGATATTATCCACACCCCTAACTCACGCATATATATCTATATATATATGTGCATATATATAATATTTTCTATCACATACACAAAAGTTCACTTGAATGAAGTTGGATGACACGTGGCATCATTAACTATCACACATTTGAAGAATTTTGTATCAAATAAATGCATAATTTTTTCCCCCCTTTTAGAGAACATGATGCCATAGGAATCACATGTTGCTTCAAATTTCATAAAACAAGGGAACTTATCCCTTTCAGCTGAGGCTCAGCCAGTGACTCTAATGGTAGTGTACTAGTAGTGTGTGGGGGCCAACCCTCGAGTATCATCAAACTTCAAATTGCATTAGATGGGCCCGGAAATAGTAAAAATCCACACAAAATATGGGCATGGGCCCACTCAAAATGGTATCGGAACAAAACTACAAAGGACATAAATACTTGTGTAGAGACTAGAGAGAGAGAGAGAGAGAGGCCAAAAACTTCCAAACTCCAAAGAAAGAGTGAGTGAGTGCGGAAGGGAAGGGGGATGATTTTTTTTTTTTTTTTTTGAAGGAAGTCAGAGATGAAATGACATTGAAATGAAATTCAACAGACATGAATTTGACGTTTCAGATTCTAATTGTCAGAATGCTTGCAGTGACAGCAATAGCAGCCTCAGCCGTATTACTTCCCTCACCCGTTTTTTTTTTTTTTTTAAATTTCTTTTTTGTTATTTTCCCTAAACCAAAATATAACATAAAAGAAACTATTTGCCAGCTTGTGATCTATCTACCATTTTCCCATCCTGAAGATCCCGAGGATATTCAATCATTATTCTTTAAGAGTTCTATCCCACCTTCTATCATGTCCCAAATAATTTTTTGCTCATTTGCACAAAATAATATAATAATAATAATAATAATAATAATAATAATAATTTTCTCATTTTTGGTAGAAGACGTATAGAAAATACAATGGATGTATGTACACTATCAAAATTTCATTAAATTTCACCATATGCAATTTCTCAATAATAAGTTGTTTAGAAACTTATGACACAAGCATTCCATTTAGTAATTCCGTTCTTTTAGCTGGTCAGACATGACTTGGTTTTTGGACATAAAAATGGTTTTTTTTTTTTTTTTGGGTGCTTTTGTGTCTTGAAATTTTGATTGAATTAGCAAGTTGCGTCTTAAAATTTTAAATTTGACCAATTAGAACATGAATTTAATAAAAATGTCACAGTGTCTTTAAATTGATGAATGTTGTTAAAATTTGAAAGGATTCTCTTGCATATGAGATGACGTGCTCCAACCATTATTGAAATTTCAGTACATTCCTTCAAGCAAGCTCACAAAATGTGTAAGAAGGCGCACTTTTTGTTCAATTTTAATAGTTGCAATATTTTTTTTAGAATTAAAGATATTTTATCAAAATAAAACGTTTAGGGATCAACAACTTGTTAATTGTGAGAAGTTTAGAGGACACATGTTCCAAACACCGTTTGTGTGTTTGTGAATATATATAGACATTGTATATACGGGAAAAAGTATGACTTGAACCCAGGACAATTTTTGTTGCAAGGTCTATTATCCCAGTAAGTATTATATGGTAGATGAAAAAAGGAGGTACTCTATTTTAATTGGTATATGTTTTCCATGTGGCAATTCCATTTTATTATTATTATTATTATTATTATTATTATTATTTGCTTTATTGCGTTTGGAATAAAAAAAGTCCATTCCAAGTTGTCCAATTAGTCTTCAGTCCTCTACGTACAATAATCGTACCTAAATGAAAACTATATTACACATAATAAAGACTTAAGAGTAGTAACTTCATGAACATGAAAAAAATGGAACAAATATTGAAGAAATCTGCAAAAGCGTTTGCTCTATCTTTAGTGCTTTTTGGTGAAGGATTCTCTGGATGTTGAAATGGGATGCCACACTAGACCACCAAAATGGTGGTCCATGAAATTCCTTTTCATACAGAGAGGTCGTGTTTATTTTATGTGGTTCAGTCTAGGCTTGGACAGAGCTTAGCTTTTCTTAGATATTTTTACTTTTATTTATTTTTATTTTTTTAGAAAATTTTTTTAGGGTTCTCTCGCCGTGAAAGAAAAAGGAAACACCTTTTTTTTTTTTTATTATTATTATTTTTAACCAAAAATCCATTTCATATCCAATAGCTCAATCCGAAGGTAGATATTTACTTCTCGTATAAAGTCATATGTGGCATTGCCTTTGTTTGCGAAAACTTCAAGGTTGAAATTATGAATTTTACCGTTTACCGAGAGACTTTCTGTTTGAAAGCTGGGGTGCACGGAGAGAGAGAGAGAGAGAGAGAGAGAGAGAGAGAGAGAGAGAGAGAGAGAGAGAGAGAGAGAGAGAGAGAGAGAGAGAGAGAGAGAGAGAGTGGATATGTCTTTTTTTATTTATTACAACAGCTTTGACAACTAGAATTTTTTTCAGATAAAGTGTATTGTTATTACTTTATTTTATAGCTCTTAAAAGTGTTATTATCTGATGGGTTTTCTGCAAAAAGTCGTGTAATACTAGAAAACTATATTTACTACTGCATTGTGTATTAAAAGAGTGCAAATAGAATTTCATTTAATCATGATAAAGTTGTACTACTAATGTAAAAATTCATTACTTTAACAGTTTCCTGTCCGTAAGTATTATTATTTTCTTGAATTTCTTTTTCTTTTGGCTTCATGCTGGTTTCTTGGTTTGCTTAAAGGGCGGACACTAAGGAGATCTATAGTACAATGTACAAAATTTCTTTTCTTCAACCTAATATTTTTATTTTTTCTATTGTTTCCCATTGAAGAGCCATGCCACAATGTTCCAACAATCACTGCCACGAATTGCTTGGGATCAGTGAGGTGAAAGGAACATGACACTTACTCAGCATTCAGCAACTGATATATATATATATATATATATATATATATCATAAAATTTTCAAAATTAAGAACATGAGAAGTTCTCAGGAACAAGAAGTGCCATACTTGAGCACTCGCAATACAAATTTTCTTTAGCTAGATATGCAAATCGGAAGCATCATGGCATAATGTGGCATAAAAGAAGGTCCTATATAACATTGAATCTTTCTCATTTATGTATGCTCATTGTATAATGTATATTCTAGAAGTAATGAAATAATGTATTCACCGAAAAAAATCAAAAGACTAGAGCCTTTTTAGTTCATAAATTTAAACATAAATTTAAATTTGTTTGAATTTTTACGAGAAAAAAAGATTGTACAAATATGGTTCGAACCAAAACATTTTAGTTCGAACCTATAAAATAAAGGATAGATTTTTGTGAAGAGTGTTTTCATCAAGTATAAAAGGATGTCTTATATTTTGATTTATAGGGTTGCATTGGATGAGTCTGAGATATCGAATGAATGTTACTGACAAAAAACAGATGAATGGATTACTACTATCTGGTGCTGCCTAATTCTTGATCTTGAGGGCAATCTTGTTTAAATATTATCATAAGAAATCTATTTAGAAGAGTCTGAACTCATCATGGAAGTTATATTTTGTACATATGTAGCTCTCCTTGTACAAAATTAACTAACTTGTAGAAAGTCCATCAAGTATTGATCAAATTATTTTACATCTTGGGAGTCATGTTAATGTCTATATATATATATATATATATATATATAGCAGGTAAATCTGGCAGCTTTTATGGTAAAATACAAATCATCATAATCTTATTTGTCTAATTAATTTTGTTCCAATATAGTCATTCTTGAAGGAAATAAAAACCTAACTATGCATGACACTGTTACTGCATGAGAAGTTGTAACTTTAAGTAATTAGGATATAAACTAGAAGTCGGATCCGCCCTACTAGTTGTTAAATCGATGAGATGATGATCGGAGACGACAAAAACGAACGATTAATAATTAACAAACACGTAATATCCCTACTAGTTGTTAAATCGATGAGATGATGATCGGAGACGACAAAAACGAACGATTAATAATTAACAAACACATAATTTATTACAATGTCACTAATCTTCAGTATAAAGAGTTAACTGAGGAAGATGACAGTGGAAATCACGTACGTAGCTTTAGATACTTCAAGTCATGATAGAGATAAACATCCGCTAAGTAACTAGTAACAAGTAGGGAGAGAATAAAGATATAGTACTTATGTCCTTACAAACAAACACATGGAAATTGAAGCAATTCATAAACTCAAAGAACTTGGATTTCAATTTTGAGTACTAGTACTTCTCTTGCTTATTATCAAGATATCACATCAGCGCATTTGCAGCTCTTGATGGCATAAGATGCTTCTCAGACCCCTAATCAAAATTTTCCAGAGGAAATTATCAGATAAGCAAGATTCTAAAATGAAGTTATTGCTACAAAATTAAAGTTCTATGTGCAGACAAAAAATAGATATCGTAATTTCTTCTTTTTGAACTATTTGGTTATATAAAGGCCTTTTATATATTTTAAATAAAAAGGTAAGCATTTTAACCAAGGAAAAGAAATGTGCATAGATGATAGGGAGATAAGTATATGACGAACTTAATGAGGCACCAAAACTTTTGAGTTTTGACCCCAGCTAGCTAGTTAAGTTTAGAAATTTTGTGGAAGAATTTTCTAATTATTATCATTTAACAATTCATTAGAGATAAGAAAATCGTGAAATCAAGATCATGTCTTTGTCATCAATGCAAAGGGGGGTTTTCTTGTTTGAGTGTGTGTACTATTTATTTATTTGTTACTACTAATTGTACTGCCCTAGTGACCTAAAAGGTAAACATGTTAAACAAATTAAGCCTGGTGACTAAGTAACATAAAATGCTTAATTTTAGGAGACATAGTAGTACTACAAGAGAAATACAATGCAAAAACAAAACAAAAAAAAAAACAAAAAACAAAAAAAGTTTTCTTTCCCATGTAATCGTGTATATAAATGAAGTATTTCTCCAAAAAATGCCATAAAATACACTAAGCTACATAGGCGTTTCTTTCCAAATAGCTCAAACAACTATAACAAGCGAAAAAATAAATAATTATCTCTTCTATGTTTTCATTATGTACATGTTTTCATTGTAGTTGACAGAGTAAGAATATAATGGAAAAAAAGAAAAAAAAAAAAAAAAAAAAAAAAAAAAGGAAAACTAATGCCCATACTTACATTGTCCAGCTTAGTCTGGTTGTTGGTCTTCAACATCAGCCCAAAATGAATGTGAGGGAAGTGTGCCCACTAGGAATTAAAGAAAGAAATGATAATAGGTCAGTTTCCAAATAATTTTGATTTTATAATATGATTGAAAATAAAATAATTATCAAGAAAATATGTTTGGTTTCATGTTAATTATACGTTTTTAGCGGCAGTACTGAAGGCCTCCCTGTGGCTAATTTCAGGATTATTAGCCTTGATTCTTTGAATCTCTTCCCTACAAAATTGACCACCATATAATTAATTTTTTTTTATAAATTATAAGCACCTGAGGAGTAACGATAATATTATATATATCATGCTTTATCTGCCTGAAAGAAAGATAGAAAAAGATATTCAAAAGAGTGACGAGAGTTCTTATATTTATTTCATTACTTTATAAACTGATTATATGCAGAAGGGACTCGCTGCCTCTTCTCGGGAGCTGAGAAAAGAAAACAACAACTCATCAAAAAACAACATCAGATCACACTACATATATTTATAGGTGGTAAATATAAGTACAACATATAGATACATGTATATATAGTGAGCAACTCACGTCGGTTCACAACCCTTTCCTCAGAGACATTATTAGCATTGGGAGCTCTCATTGCAAGCTTGTTAACGTTGCATCGTGATGAAGAGCCTGAGTCAATCCGATAATCCGGTACATTGTAGTTGTAATTTTGTGCCTGAAAATTTATTAGTATAAATTATTTAAATATTAAGTCATGAGATTACTAAAATGAACATTTATTTCTGAAGTAGCTTAGAGGCCGGGCTAGTACTCTTTTTACATACATTGTTTTATTAACACTAAAAAAGGTAGATTAAAAGACAGTTCTTTTTCATTTTTAATATACTGGATTTGTACCAGTTTTCTTCTTTAGAGCTCTATATTTAGCTATAATCAAGAAACTAGCTAGCTGGACTGTGGGAGTTGACATTTTTCTCTTAGGGGGAGAGAGAAAGTGGACAAAGCAAACAGGTTTGAAATGACTTAAGCAGTACTTAGGAATAGTATCAGATCAAGGAAAGAAAAAAGTTGAGTAAAACCCAGATTGACAGTTCGTTAAAAGAAGGCCTTTTAGGACATGATATCTTAGCCGCAAAAGAAAATAGTCTATTATGTGTTTTAAGCAGCACTGTAGCTAAGGACAAAGATCGTGAAAAGAAATCATAAATTAAACCTAAAAAAATTGAAAAAAAAAACCCTAACATAGAGAGAGAGACAGAGAAGCCGCATAAAAATGGTAGGTATAGAGCTTAGCGCTTGTTGGGTTTAGAGAAGAACCAAAAAGCAAAAAAATGTTAAAAAAACATATATAGGTTTTGGTTATGGCGGCTGTTAGCTAGCTAGCTAGGGTTTTCAGTACTTCTGATCTTCAGAAAGTTATAAGAAAATGCTTTGGAATTCTCGATCTACTGAGCTTCTTCGATTTCCTCAAAGAAAAGTGAATTATATATATATATATATATGCCCAACACACAAACACATACATACAAGATCAGGTCTAGATTTCAGAGGGGCCTATCTATATATATATATATATATATGCATGTGTAATAAATAAGAGCGCCCTAGATATAAGCTGAAACTGAGACATGACTTTGTAAAGGCAATATTTGTGTTTAGAAACAGACTATACACATAGACACACACACACATATATATATATATATATATATGTGTGTATATATATATATAGATAGAGAGAGAGAGAGAGAGAGAGAGAGAGAGATAAAGAAAATAGCACCTGCAGATGATGATGATGATCTTGTTGCCACGACAGTGACTGAAACGCGGCGGCCATGTTGACGGACCATAGATTGGTGCAGTGCCCGCATCGGACCGTCACGATGTCGAGCAGGCTGCTGCATGGAACGCTCACCTGCACCGGATCATCATCGCATGAAACTTTTTTTTTAATCTTTTAATTTTTAGCAGAAGTAGTACTAAAAACTAACAACAAGAAAACCAAACCCTCCTTTCCTTTGTATATGCTCAGAAAATTAAAAAAAAAAAAAGTTAAAAACGAGAAATAAAGAATTTTAGTGCAATTTTGATGGCTTGAGAAACCAGGATTTAGGGCCGAAGAAAACAAATGGGATAATGTTACTTGACATGTGAGAACAAAACCCTAAGATAAGAGTTAGGGTAAGTACTTGGAATTCTTGTGGTGGGGGATTTTAAGGAAAATATTAATAACCCAACGGAGATAAAATCTGATTATCTTAATTTTTATACACATATATATATATATATATCCTCATTCAGCAAAAAAAGGAGATGAGTTTTGCGCACCAGGCCAGGTTAGTGCACTGTTCTATGTAAAAGGAAAGGTAAGTCTCAGAGGAAGAGAGAGAAAGAGTGAGGAAATCAAAGGGTGTGAAAGACTTGTCCTCATCATGATTATAAGCAAATCAAGCATGACCTGTTGTTTTGACGTACCAAAATTTGTAGTTACAAAAACCACAATACATATGATAATAAACTCATTTATCTCTCTCTCTCTCTCTCTCTCTCTCATGGTTGGGGCTAGCTCTCAAGCACTACTAACTTCAGGACCTTCAGGTATGACTTTTTATTTTTATTTTTTTGACTGCAAAAGAAGAAGAGAGAAAAAGGAAAAGTCCAACGATGGAGACCTGACTGAACCCCAAAAACAAAGAGAGAAAGAAACTCGGCCAGGGAAGAAGGAAAAAAAGTAATAATAATAAAAAATTGGGGAAAGAAAAGGGATTTCATCAGTCAAAATAAAACCAAAACCTGATCATCATATATCATGATATATATATACACACACACATATACATATGTATGTATAGAAGAGAAGGGCACGGACTAGCTTTTTCAGGATCTAAATTATTGCAATTCTTTTCATAAACACACAAATGAGAAAAGACCAAAAAAAAAAAAAAAACTGAAATGAGTGCAAAGAGTTGGCACAAAGTTTGGTTGAGTACGAATGATATATATATATATATATATTTATATATATAAGAACTGAAAAGCAGATCTCTCCCCATTAAACCCGAAAAGATAGAGAAGATGTTAAGATCAGAGATACCGCGAGAACAATATTGCAAAAGTTGCAGGGTATGTAGCAGAGTTGCTCAGGCGCAACATCGACGCAGCTCGACATGTTGTTTTTCTCTTTTTCTTTTCTTTTCTTTTCTTTTCTTTCTCAGCAAACAGAGAGCAATAATAACCAAAGGGCACCAGACTGATCAATGATCTCTCAGGCACTGCTGCTTTCTTTACTCAAGAAGAAGGCAAGAAAAGAAAAGCAAAAGACAAATCATAAAAAAAAAAAAAACAAACAAAATTTTTGCGAAATTTCAAATACGCCAGGGAGAAAAGAAAGCAAAGCAGCAAAAGCCTTTTTATTCTCTCTCTCTATCTCTGTCTCTCTCTCTTTCTTTCTCTCTCAACTGCTTGCTTTGAAGACAGGCTATGAATCACAACAGTAAAACTTAATATTGGCCAATATATATAGAAGCAAGAAAGATAGAGGGAATTAAAAACCAAGAGAGAGAAAGAGATTCCAAGAGGGTAAGAAGGGTGAGAGAGAGATTGAGATTGTAGTAAGGTAAGGTTATAAGATAATAGGGTAAGGGTTAAGCTTGGGAGAAAATAATCAAATATGAAAAAATGATTAAAAAAAAAAGTGCGATCAGTAGTGCCCACGGCAGGCAGGGAAAATGCTGGGGCCGGGAAAAGAGAGGAAAATTTGAGAGAAAAAAGAAACATAAAAAAGAAAAATTAATAATAATAATAATAATAAAAATAAAGAAGAAGGGTTTTATGGAAAACCGGGTTTTTGTGGTTAATTTGTTTATATTAATATTATTAAAATAGCACAGAAGCAGCGGTTCAAGTGATAGCTATTGGATCCTTTGAGAGGGCTAGGGTTTGGAGATGAGAATTCAGAGAACATATCAAAGAGAAAGAAAGAGAGTGCAATAGCGCTTAGCTTTTTGCCTTTTGGCCTCATTACTAATTCTGTCCACCTGATACGGTAATTGCTAGTCCATTTACTGTGAATTGAGTGTGACCACTCTCACCTCCTTTCTGCTACACCATGTACACCGGACGAGGGGGGCGAAAATTCTTATTAAACTTGAATTTTCTTAGTATATAATTATATATAGACAATATGTATGTTTATATGTATGTATTCATGCGTTTTGTATTTGGGAAGAACAACTATAGTACACTGTATATTTCTTAATAATATTCCCACGCTAAAATATGGAAATTAATGACATCTGATGATGATAATTAAGAAATATTCTATGATGTTAAGACGATACCAATTTCAATGTTATATATATTTGAGAGTAAAAAGTGCATATTTCATTTGTTAATCTATCTTGTTCTTTAATGTATAATACCATTTCAAATGCTATATCTAATTTAATTATACAGTTAATGAAACTTGTAAAATAAACCGTTGACTTTCACATAATTTAAAGTGAATAATGGTGTAATTATTAAATAAAAAAGAATACGCCAACTAATAGAAACTAAAAATTTAGCACCAAAAATAGCATAGGACAAATTTAGTGTATCTCCAATGACATGCCAAATTAGAGTGCAAATGCCAAATTTTAGCATTTGAATAGAAAAACTACTCTTTAGGGCAAATCTATTTCACGTGCTAAATTTTACATATATTGTCGTCAAATTTAGCTAAAAGTATAGCATATAACAGATTTTAGCATCTAATTGCTACTAGTTGGTTATTGATGTCACAACTCCCCACCAGCCATCTGCTATGCTAGGCCGGCGATGGATCATGACGGGAAAACATAATGTACATACATACATATCATACCATATTTGCAGATCTTTTTTTTTACATACAAAAATATATATATATATATATATTTAACATAGCCATAATAATGCAGATTATTTAAACTTTTAAAGGTTTATAAATGCTTAATCAAAACACGAAAATTCTAAAACTTAAAAGGAGAAAGGTGTTTGTAGGGAGTTTTTTAATTAAAAACATAATTTTGCGGAAATCGTATTGAAGCCATAAGGCCAATTCTCAAAAACTAATATCAAAGTTTGGCCACTATAAGTCTTATCCCATATGCGCATTCACTTCGATTCGCTTTCTCGATCACTAAGCTTCTATCTTAACATTTTCTTTCCCTTTTCCCGCAACACAAGGAATCCTAGTGAGCTAGAAAGCCCAGCAAGCAAGTAGACTAACTACTCTAAATATGGATGTACTGCAACACGATAGTTTCTCAACAAAAGAGAGACGTGAATGTAAATGTAGACATAAACAATATTGTAAGGTCCGTTTTTATCCTGGTGTCACAAGTGGTGTTGTAACACTTTACTGTAACACTTTTTGTGACAGAAAATCTAATATTAAACCAGCAAAATAGTAAAGCAGGAAACTAATGCAGAAACGTAAAGGACACAAAAAAAAATGATATCGCAGTTCGGTGCGCACACCTACTCTGCGGGGCTACGCCCAGACAATGATCAATCCACTAAGTTCAAAAGATTACAAAGGACCGAACGGTCTTACACACTCAACGACTCCCTCCTTGACGATGTCGCCGTTGCCTAGAATCTCCTTAGAAAGCTTGATCAGCGAGCACCACTCGACTTGACGGTTTCCTCCCGAAACCAAAGAAATCTTCTCCCGAAGAACCAACTCGAAAGCGTTCTAACAATTCGTCGCAACACATCAAGCGACACTTAACATTACAATCTCATTCTGATATGGACAAATGCAACTTTTTTGTTTTCAGTCCTGTGTGTTCATTACACGTTCTGCCCTCATCATGACAAACCCTCATACCACTTTATTTTTCATTCAACAATCAGCAACACTCTCCCACCGACAATAAGCACACCCAAAAGGTAATATCTCCTCCATTAACACCACAAATCAGGTCACCAACTCTAATGACAGTAAGAAGACAATCATTCCCAATATTTCCCACAATTCTTTCCTTAGAAGAGCCAGCCATAATGCTCCAGAAAGTCCACTCTTGATTTGCAACCAATAAACATGACAACCAAACTTTCTTTAAGAGGACTACCAATTTACAATGCCAACCAACCTTACAACCAATTTGCCAAAAATAAGCCAACACAAAAAATGCACTAACAAATATTAATTCGAATACCTAATTCAATTCCTCATAATTTTTCTCAACATAGTACTATAAATCATAATTTTTACCAATGGATAAATAATCATAATATAACATACTTCGTATCCTAATATGTTTCAAAGAAGAATGTATTGTGCTCCAATACCCATAAACTCTTCATATTAAATATTCATGTTATCCATTGACTATTATTTTGACCTTTATAAGTCATATTCAAACGTATGAGAATCATATTCTTAATGTACCATAATCATAATTATATGACATCATAAATCATAATCTAACATACTATAATCATAAGCATGAGTCTTAATCTTAACATGCCATGGCCATAATCATAACCATATCATAAATCTTAATCAATTTCTTACCGTAAACTGAAGCTTTCCCAAGCAGTCATGTACTCCCATAAGCACAATTGTGCATAGGATTTAAATAAGAATAACAGGTTGATAATAATTAAAATCTAAAACACATAACTATCCCTAATAATCTAGCGTACCCATAATTTGCCTTCTTGTTAAGGGTTCACAACAATCAAGAAGGTATTAGAAAACAACATAATCACCATATTAATCACATGTTCCCGTTTAAGATGATCATAATTAAATCTAACTAAGAAACATACATACTTTAAATTAACATGGTCTTATCATTCTATAATCTTACCATGTCATATCATACTCTCATATTCATAACATAACCTCATATCATATACTATCATGAACTAATCATTTTATAATAAATCTTGACACAAAATTATTATGTCGTGCACGTACTAATGGGCCCATGGGACTGCCTTATGTTGGCTGATGCTCAATCGTGGGGCGGTCCTAGACTCCAAGCCAATGGGTCTAAAGAATCACACACATGGATCTCACGTACCATTTAACAAATCACACTCGACTTCTAGGATTGTACCACTAACTACATGTGGCTTACTTATAACACTCGAGTCACAATCCATTGGCTTTCACATAAGTGATAACATAAGCGTTCATGGGGCTTTATCCATTCTTGCCCAGCTAAGGCTCGGGGAATTTAGCACCGTGACTTAAACACAAATCCAATGACCACTAAAGTCGCCGGATCTAGAACCCGGGATCAAATAGCATAAATTCCACCTAGCAGACTTATTTAAATCATAACTATCATATTAGGTCCTCTAACGGACTGGTAGTGCCTACTACTATGAAAAACTAATCATATCTTACTATATGCCAATGTTCGTAAGTGAATGTCATGCCAACAAAATCATGCCCTATCTTGCCATGCTGCTTCATATATCGGGCATGTTATTTAGATGCTCACATAATTAAATTTAGCATATTCGCATTTTATATACCATGTCATGTGCATTATTATAATCGCCATAAAACATGCTTCCATTCCTTAATGCTCAGATGCAATTAGATATTTTTTCATTAAGGCATAACCAACATATTCATTGTAGCATAATGGGCATAAAACATTCACAGAGAAGTTAAATATTTTCATATCATGTTCATGATTATGGAAATCATAAGCAACATGCTAAACAATAAAAATAGTATATAAGGCATAATTATATTCATATATCATACTATTATAAACGATCATGGTATTCTTACATAGAATGACAAACATAGGTCACAAGTAAATCGTAAGCATCACTTGTGCTGCAGGTGAGTACTCTACTTACCTTAAGCATTCATATATCCCAAACGTAAGCTCCTTATGCTTTGTTCGATTCACGCACAATGATTAGGTGCTCAACAAATTTTAGCAAATATTTTCCCGTTAATTGGAGCGTTACAAATCCTTTTTAGAGTATTATGACACTCTAAAATTGTTAACAAATTCTTAAAAATAGGAAACCATATTGTTTCTTTTTCATATCTTAATCGATGACTCATAATCACAATCTCGTCTATTATTTTTAAAAAAATGTGGTTTGAGGTTGAGGAAGACTCTTTGGAGTTTAGTAACATTGTCCATAACTTAACAAAAGTAAAAGCAAGTGATTAATTCATAATATGACCGTAATTTTCTTAAAAGAAAATCCATCAAACCAAAATATTTAATTGAAATCCTTGAATCTTATAGATATAATTTCTTTAAGAAAAAAAAAACACAACCTCATAACATGAGCTTTCATTATCCTTCGACATTGCCAAAAATATAATCTAGTATGAATAGTTGGATTTTTAACTAAACTAAGCAAAATCTTTGTTTTGTCAAACTTTCCGTCATCGAAATTAACCATTCGTCATCGAATATGACACTCAAAGTATATACATATTGATAGGTATTTAAATAACTATAAGCTTAGTTTTTAACCATAAAAATATTGAGAATGGTGTCCTAGAAGTAGGATATGTAATATGATATTTATTAATTATTTAATAAAAGTGTTTATTCATCATTTTCTGTGCATATATTTATGAATATTTTGAAAATATAAATGAAAATTCCATAATTATTTATGTGACCGTAAACATTGTATATAAGTGTTATATGCGAGAGGA